GCAACTGTGTCAGTGTGGGCGGGTGGGTGGTTTGGTTGTGTGTTTGTTTGTGTGTGTGTGTGTGTGTGTGTGTGTGTGTGTGTGTGTGTGTGTGTGTGTGTAACACAGACACGATAACTTCCTCTAAACTTCCTGTGATTAGAGCATAGGGGTTGCTGGGAACCAGCAGGAAATTAGAAACACACACACACACACACACACAGACAATCTCATTAAAGGGCAAATATCATCATACTTCAGAGATTTAATGCTATAAACGTAAACAAGTATGAAACATAAATAAAACACAATTGACCTTTCCATTGTTTTTCAAAGCAAACAAGTCATTTTAAAACCACTTTTGATAAAAACAAAAAGCCTCTGTACAGTATATGGTTGATGATAATCTTCTAAATCCCCAGCTATTGCTGTACATAAGACAAAGACCGCATTACTGATAAAAATGCATTTATAACAGAAATATGCCACATATTGGTGTGGTCAAAGCTGTTATTTGTGAGCATAAAGTTCCTCAGGTGGAAAAATACTTCTGTTTACATCATATTTTACTTTTTCTTCGCTGTCAGTTTAAAATCTGCCTGTGTCCATACATTGCATGAAATCAATAAATGTCATACGGTTAAACGCTTAAAAACTTAAACACTTAGTTTCTGCTGAATGGATTTTTTTCTGAACCAAAGCCAAATAAAAGAGAGTGTGTTCAACTGCAGCAGCAATCTAACTTTCTGTCAATACTTTTTCACTTAAAGCATTACCTTTACATAGCTTTAAGGGCCCAGCAATATGTGCCAACAAAACAAACTGTGGACCGACTTTTGGGGTTTGGGTGATGTAACAGACCGCGTCATCAGAAAACATTTTGACAGTCGCATTATCATAGTGTAGTTAAACTTTCATGAGTTAAACAAAGACTGATTATGTGGAGAAAGGAGATCTGCACAGCTATCCGCATGGCTCACTAATATGAAGTAAGCTTTTGTGGAAACAGTTGTTAGGAGGAAAATGCTGATGCATGCCTGTAAACATCTGCATGGTGGTCATAACAGGAGCAGAAATTACATCTACCTGATAGCTGTAAGAATCTTTTGCAGTCATTTATCACTGGTGAATTACAGACAGACTGGGCTTGCAACAGAGCACTTCTAAACCCCTGGGTAGGGTTCTGGTCTGTTAAGTCTCCAAGCTACAGCTCTCGTCAAGCTTCGTGCTTGTCACTGGCTAAATTACCATATTTACTCACTGTATGAACTTTTTAATCTGGAGACTTTGATATCACTTCTTTTATCCTGACTGAAAAACATGTTGGGCTTCCTGGTTGCCTCGTGCCTGTTTTTTGTTGTCTTCCTTTTTCACACAATTTTTTTTTTGAGAAAATTGTGCACAACACCTCCTAAACGATTTTCAAACAAAAAGGGGAAGGAGGAAGTAGTTTTGCCCAACATTTCACAATTAGAAAGCTGAGATTTAATCACTTCCTGACAATGTGTGCATATGGTAACATGCAAATGTGGTTGTGTTTGTGTCATGGTGTTAACATGTGTTCATGACACAAATAAAAAATATATGATGGGTGTATTTTCTTGTTATTACCACAACAACTCGCATACTTTCTCACACACTTACTTATGAGAGCGAAGACACACACACACACATATAATGCTAATGCATGTGAAGAACGCTAGGACAGCTTTGAATGCCTCAGGGCTACGTCTGAGCTTTCATTTCCTCTATCCTGCACAACAACTGACAGAAGCGAACACATTCACACAAACCCACAGACAGAAAGCACAACTTATGAAACTCTTCACCTGCCCACAGGGACTCCAGCTGTAGACAACTCTATTATTTCAACTAAACATTGTACAAACATTATTCCACATTGTAATAAAATAATCAAAGAAACAGAAGTATGTTTTCTTGGCATAAAAAAGAAACCACGCTAAAATATCTTCAAGTTACAATGACAAACATGCACCAGACACCCAAAAATGCAGACAATGAGTTTATTGGCAGCATCTGAAGCTTTAATCTTTAACAAGTTAAACCAAAAAACTGTGTAAAAGTTTAAGTGACTATTAAAGAAGCAGATGTTGCACTTTCAAAGGGTGGATACATTGTCAAAGGCAAGGAAAAGTCCTCTCCTAAAACATTTGGCTGAAAAAAAAAAGAGTCAACTGGAGTCTAATACTTTAGACACATTCCCTGGAAACTCAACCAAATCGTATTATTTGTCTAACTTTAACAGGCTGCAATAACTCAAAGCTAAACATATTTAGCTTACTTACTGAAATCAAGTCTACATTTGACATCCATTGATTTGCACCAACAGGACCCCACCGCCACCACCAACACCCACACACACACATGCAAACATTAGTAAAAACATGCAGGCTGTGGGCTTTCCGGTGCTAGGGGGGAAGTTACAGGTCATTGCGACATCAGTGTTTTAGATAAGAGCTCTTTCACACACCATAGATCCAGCTGAAGGGCTTTAGTTTAGATGCAACACAGGTGGGCTTTGCAGAGTACGATACACTTAATTACTTTCATTTTAAAAGATGTGTTGCTCATGCGCAACTTCAGTTGAATCCGTTTATGTAATCTGCAATGCAGTCATCCGCAGCAATATAGAATCTGGATGTAAAGTGGATGCAACACAGTCATGTGGCTGCATACACAAGAAAGATTAGTAGGAGATCTTAAATAAATCAATTTTAATATTAATCCCTTTAATCAGAGCATTGAGATGCCATGAGATCCCTATCTTATTTAGAGACGAAAAGTAAGACACATTACAATAGTTTACCAAAGACTCAAGTTTTTTTATATTTGGAAATAAAATCATTTTCATGGTATTGAACATTTGCTTGGGGCACTAGGTTTTGGAGTTTAAATGTTTTCGTTGGGACCTGAATCCCAGACTTATCAGTGATTACAGTTAAATTGAAGTGTAAATCAACCTTTTTTCTTTAACACCTCTAACCATACAACCATAAACAGAAAAAGCAAGTACTGCATCTTATGGTTCTCTTTTAACAATAGCATTGTTATTGTCACTATTATGTACTGTAGATGCCTAAGTGGTGGTGGTGGAGTGCACGACTAATTGTTGTCCTGTCGACAGATTTTTGTACCTGAGATGTTGATCTCCTCAGCGCCAGAGTTACCATGACCCTCTTAGCTTCTTCTGTGATTAATGCTCTCCTTGGCAGGCCTGAAGAGCATTGATTTATAACCTAATCCTGCTTTTAACTATTCCCCTGTCTGGCGTGTTCCTTAGCCTTAATGATACTGTCTGTTCAATTATCTAAAATAAACCTGTGGGGCTTTCATAAAACAGCTGTTTTGATACTGAGAATATATTACACATAGCTGGGCTATTTAGTTGACCCCTGAAGGTATTTGCTTTCAGTGGATTTTATTTAGGGGCATCAGAAAACACATATCTACACCACACATTCTAAATTCCAATTAGTAAAAAAGTAGCTTGACTTTCCTTCTACTTCACAATTATGCACTACTTTGAGTGTGGCTACGCTACAAAAAAGTGAAAAAGTTCAAGGGGTGTGAATAGTTTACACGGCACAGTGTCTGTATTTCAGGATAATTCTGGAAGCTACTGTAAATTACTGAATGCATCACCTTCGGCAAACATTACCTGGTAAGCGCAGCCTTAGAGAAAACTGCACAGCTTACACGCATCACATGGGGGAGCTGTGATGTACTCGTTTCAATCTAATTCTGCATTCCCAACACGATTAACAGAAATCAATCAGCTGTGACAAACCGTCTCAAAATTCTCTGGATGATTTCATGGAGGAGCGAGGAGCAGCTGCTCTGCGAGCAGAATGAAGTTGGCAATCATTTAAGGTGGAGGGGCGGGGTGTCTTGACACGAGTGTTATAACTGAAATATCGACAGAACAGCATCGACCATTAATCGCGTATTGTGGACCAGGTGCCAGCGCCCCACCGCTGATGCACTTTGGATAATAACTTAAAAAAGAGAAAGTAATGCCAGGTAAACAGAGGCCCTTGTAAATACCTGCTGTGGAAATTCACTTTGGTTGAAGTCTGTTATTTGTCATATTCTTACCTGAGGGCAAAAACATTAAACCTGGATTGTTTAAATCAAATAACGTGCTCATCAAGGACAGCCACTGCAGTGAATGTATATCCATATCTTTGACAAGTCTGACAACTGGCATGCAGCAAAAATTAAGATTTATAGCATATCATTTAATGTCCCCACGCTTTGAGCAAATAAAAAAAAGACAGCAGTATACTCCAAAGGTCCAAACTGGAAAATGAATTACAGCATAAGTCACATGTTTACATACACTGTGTAAAAAGACAGAACATATTTTCTGACATTAAATCAAACTAAACCTTTCTGGTTTTAGGTTTGTTAGGATTAAAAAATAATTTGCTCAATGCCAGAAGAATGAGAGTTTTTTTTATGTAGAAACATACTTAGTAAGTGGTAGAATTCACTCTTACTTTGTGGATATTGTGTCATACCACAATGTAGTATGTGGCATGGCAGGGGTCAGACATTGCAGGTATCCTTTCACCAGTGTCCCACAGTAGTCTGCTAGAGTTTTGGTCTATTCCTCCTTACAGAACTTCTGTAACTGAGTCAGGTTTGAAAGCAGCCTGGCTTGCACACACCTTTTCCACTCTGCAGATTTACTATGGGACAAAGGTTGAGGCTTTGGATTGGTCACCTTTCCTTTCAGTCAGTCAGTCATTTTCTACCACTTCTTCCATAGTGGGTCAAGGGGAAGCTGGTGCGTATCTCCAGCAGTCTATGGGTGGGAGGAGGGGTGCACCCTGGACAGGTCGCCAGTCCATCGCAGGGCAATGCACAAACAACCAAGCACACACTCATTCACACACCTAAGACCAATATTAACCTAACAGGCATGTCTTTGGACTGTAGGAGGAAGATGGAGTACTCGGTGAGAACCGATACATGCACGGGGAGAACATGCAAACTCCATGCAGAAAGACCCCCGGCCAGGAGTCGAACCCAGGGCCTTCTTGCTATAAGGCTACAGTGCTACCAACTGCACCACCGTGCACCCCCACCTTTCCTGCTTTCTTGACATTATTACCGAGGTTCATTGGGGTCAAACACTTCAGTTTCACTTGCATGAGACCACTTGACGTGTTCATAAATTAAGGTCTTTATCCTAGAATGTATCTGAAACTGTAATCTTTCCTTTTCTTTTTTGATTCTTTTGGATTGACAGCTTCTTCCTCTGCAAGCAGCCTTTTAGAATCAGAATCAGAATCAGCTTTATTGCCAAGTTCGTACATACAAACAAGGAATTTGACTCCGGTACACTTTGCTCTATTGTTCTGTTTTTGCATTACAGAATATACAAATTTACAATGTAGCCTCTGTTCAGCTCAGAAATCATTTCAGTGTGGATAATGACACTAACAGTTACAACCAGAATCTTTAAAAGGGCTTGTTATGGGCTTTATACACACATTTTGCACAGGAACGTATTTATTTCTGAGAGACGGAACCCTTCTCCCTTCTGAATAGTATGATGAATGAATATTCCCATTGTATTTATGGTTTCATTTAGTTTTTCCAACAGATGAACATGGCACCTTCAAACATTGTACCCGAGGATGAACCAGAATTTTTGTTTTATTTGAGATTCAAGGAGGACTTGTGTTTGAGGTGTTGCCTTAAAATACATCAGCAGGTGTGCCTCTCTCACTCCTTAATCTCACTAACATTGTGAATTAACCTACCTTTTAGAAGAATAACAAAGCCATATCATCTGACCTTTCCCAAATTGTTTAAAAGCATACAGTATGTGCACAATTGTTGTATTTTTGAGGATCAATTTCAATATTGAACCACTACAGTCCACTCACTCATTCCAAAATGTTTTGGTTAATTTAGGAGATTACCTATGTGTTTACAACTATTGGGCACCAATTAATCTGCAGATTTAGTGTGAAACTTAATGAGAAAGTTCTTGATCCCTTGTTGAACATCGACAGATTAAGAACTTGATCTCTCAAGTTCTAGATCTGCTGAGCCTCCCAAACATTGTTCAGTTAGGTGTACTGTTTTCCTTCACTGCAAATCTCTGGTTAAGGAAGGGTCCTCAAGTTCTCAACAGGGTTTAGGCCAGACGAGGAAGCCGGTTAGCCGAAATATGGAGTACTTTATGTATGCAATAGAGCCTTGTCCTGCAAAAAATATGGTCTTCTTGAAAAATTCACTTTTTACTGACAGTGGATTTAGGAGTTGATTCTGAGTCCATCTTCAACCTGAAAAGGTCCAACTTACTCATCATTATTAATACCATCCCATACTGGTACCGAACTTTCACCTTGCTGGCATCTGAGTCGAAGTGGAGCTCTACGCCGCCTGTTAATGATCCAGCCGTGGGCTCATCCATCCGAAGAGTCACTCTTAACCCATCAGTCCATAAAGACTTTGAAAAAGTGTCTTCAGATATTCCTTAGCCTAGTCTAGACATTTCTCTAGTACAGTAGTGGTCTGATTTCAGCCTTCCTTACCTTGGCTATGTCTCTAAGCACTCAACACCTTGCTCTTCTGGACACTCCAGGTAGTCTGCAGTTCTTAGAATATCGGAGCAGTGGAAGAGAATACTTGGTGGCTTTATGTTTGATTTTTCTCAAATGTTTGGCTTTTAATTTGCATCTTATTTTCTCAATGCATTTCTTGCTACCCTGTTTAAATTTGCAACCATATATTTGATGGTTCTGTGATCACCTCAGATATCTTGGCAGTGTTGTATCCCTCTCAGAGACGTTATACAACTTTTAGTTTTAAAACTTTTCAAAAAGTCTGTTAAATCTCTATCGCCGACTTTGGCCTGAAGAATAAAAGCTGCCTAATAATCATGCACATCTTGATAAAGGTTGTTGATCTCCATAGACCACACCCTCCCTTATAACACAAATACACATCACCTTATATGTTTAAATCCAGCAATCCAAAAAGCATTCAAATTATACAGTTTAGAGGAGGATCATTTATACATACAGATTATATGGTTATAAAAAGCTAACTTGCCAAATTATTGTGTGCCAAGAGTAGTAAACCTAGCTTATGTAAACTTCTGACATTCAAGAAAGTAAAAAATAATGTATAAAACAATCTCTCACTCAATATTATGTTTAGTAAATAGAAAATGTTTTGGTAATCCTAGTTTGCCTAAAATAGTAAATGTTTAGTTTGATTTAATGTTACTGGGTGTATCTTAAAATCTGTTTTTTAACTGTACACCTGTTGGACCACTTGTTTGCTGAATATTGGACCATTTGCACGTTGCTGGACGCCACTATGCCTTTCCAACGTCATCGGCCATTTTGTACCGCAGGATAGTCTGTCCTACAAAACCCAGCGGCCACTGC